AAACATGTCTTGTTTTTCATGAAAGTGTAGCGTTGGGGTCTCCATGAAGCATTGGTTTTTCATGTCGGTTCGATTTCGATCCATTTTTACTCGGAAAGCAGCCCAGTTTACTAAAAAGGAACGGTTCCAACATACTCATAAAAAAAGGATGCAGGCAATTTTTCCATAAAAGCAAGAACGACTGGAAATGAGAGGGCAGTTTGGTAAACGCTCCCAAGCAGGTAATGGGGAGGCGTTCAGTCCGCCTCCTGGGGTCAGGTCACCACAGCTGCGCAATTATTGAAGCCTAAGGAGAAGCCGGGGTGAAGTGGTGTAGCAAGTGGCACGCTTACCACGCGAGCGGTCCGGGGATCAAATCCTGGGTCGTGAGTCGCCCGGGCCAACCAAGCCTTCCATCCCTCCGGGGTCGGTTAATTGGTACCAGACTTGTCTGGGAGGATAAAAACACTGACTTGTACATCGGCTGGCCCCGCAAGTCATTGTATAGGCCACATCCAGGGTCAACCGTCCGTTGGACAAAGTCCAAGAGGGGGTCGTATTTGGCCAACCGAAAGGGGGGGGGTCGTATTCGTAAAGATCAACGCCGCAATACGTGAGTGAGAGGCATTGCTTGAGAGGCGTGCGTGAGAGGCCTACGCTTGCTTTGAACAAACGAGTGGTGTCTCAGCGTTAGTTGGCCTCATCTGAGGAGGAAAACTACAACACACCCGCTGCATTGTCTGGGACTGACTGTGTGAGTGATAGGATGAACTGAACAGTGAATTCAGAATTTCCCAAGCAAGCCTCTGACCGAAAAAAACAAGCGCACGGCCTCGATGCCAACGTTTTTTTAGCAGCTTCCTGCTTTTTCTTGTGTTTTTGATAAATTTTCGAGAGATTAGATAAATTTCTTTGGACAACACCGAGAAAGAATGTTGCTTTTATTTGTAAAATGTCACAAACTCGGGAAAAATTCTTTTTTTGCCGCCAGTGGATAAAAACACATTTTGCACCTGAGGAAATGCTTATCGCCGTCTCGCCTTGTTTTAAAATTGATGGATGAAAGTTGTGAAAAGAGCGGGAACAGGACCGTGTAAGAGTTTTGGATACGAGTTACTCCGATACGATGGAAAATTGGTCTCGGTATCAGATTCCGAACACGCCTCCCCCCTCCGATAATAAAATATTACGCTATCGCAATATACATACTTTTGTATTAGGTTGTCTCATAAAGTAGTGTCGCTTTTTTTCAACCAAAAATTTTCATCTAAATCCTCATGCTTTTACATCTTTCATATACCATTCGAAAGAGAATTGTCTGCTCTACAAGATGCTGTTGTTCTTCCACCTGTTCCAGGGTTTTCAAATTTTAGGCCTGCGAAATGGGAGGTCCCGCCGACAAAAATTGACCAAACCGACAACTAGCTCTAACTTTATTTTCCCTGGGAGAAATCAATCAATGATGTACCCTCTACTTACTCATGACCTCTTCTAAACATTCCACTCTTAGGTTGCCGAAAAAGCTTTGCCGTGTTTCTTTTCGAATTGGCTGACGGATAAGCCATAGCAATTTTCAAATTAAAATTGTTCCTCGTAAACGTCATTGTTTCATATCGAGTGGTGTTCCTTTTACGAGCACTTCTTCTGCTCTACTCGCTCATTTGTTTTTTGTTTTGTTTGTTGGGAATTAGTTCGAATTTTAGGTGTTTAGGTATAAGGTGTTTATCCGCGAAAGTGACCGCATTTCTTTGAAAAAAATTATCCCTGAGAAGATGAGAAAATCAACCAGGCGTACATTCCTAACTTAGTCATGACTTGTTCTTTAAATTCTACTAGTTTTTCAATGTCTCGGCTATAAAAAAATTTCGACCTAGATCTCAGGTAATGGTGCTCGACCGTCGAGTTCTGGTTGAAAAACCAGGTCTGGAAAAGGAGCGACGCGACTTCTTAGGGAACCTAATAGTCGAATGTTAAGAAGAGGTCATGTGTAAGGAGAGGGTACATCATTGATTGATTTCTCCAAGGGAAATAAAGTTAGAGCTAGTTGTCGGTTTGGTCAATTTTTGTCGGCGGGACCTCCCATTTCGCAGGCCTAAAATTTGAAAACCATGGAACATAGATGGAAGATGAACACAAGCCCTTGTAGAGCAGACAATTCTCTTTCGAATGGTATATGAATCGATGTATAAGCATGGGGATTTAGATGGAAATTTTCGGTTGGAAAAAAAAGCGACACTATTTATGAGACAAACCTAATATTAAGTATCAGGTTGCTGACGCCGATGGGTGACCTATTCGAGAGTGGCTCTTCTCGTCCGCCAAAAGCTTAGTCAGTTTGTTTAACGAAAAGGACACGCCTTAGAGATTTGAAAGACGTCCCAATCTCACATACAGTAGCGGTCAAAAGTGTTCGCCGGAACGATTTTTAGTGCATTATTTTTTCTCGCTTGAGCAACGCCTTCCAAAGATTGATATACTATGTTTTCTAGTGTTTTTATATCCTCAAGTCTTAAAGAATCAGGATATTCAAAGAAAAAATTTTCGGGGCACCACTGATCTTTTTTGGCAAAAAAAAGAGAAGCCATTGGCCGCGGAGACCGCATTCGGGCGTGTTTACTTTTGACGCTACGTGTATTGCGGTTAAGCCCCAAAATTTCTTCACTATGCCCTGCTTCGAAAAGTAGTGCGCCAGTGAGTGAGCCAGTATCTGTGCTTTGGACTAAGCTCTAGGGGAACGGAGGAGATCCTGGGGTAGCATTTGAGCAATTTTTGTTCTTTATGACGTTTCTTCCTCGCCTGAGGCTTTGTTCATAGTCTTCCCTGCGCCATCGGTCCCTGTTTTTGAGTCCTCACCATCAAGGACATGGTGCCATCGCTCTGTCGATAGTTCAAATCTAAGACCTACGCCAAGAGGAAATGGCGGATATGGCTTACCAAACAGATATTGTGGGCCATAACCGACTAACTTGGCGGGAAGTGGGAGGAGCAGACTAATCTGCTGGGTTATATCACGCGCCCGGCGTCGAGGATTGCATCCGGGGACTTGATGCCACGGTCCTAGGGCAACTTCATCCTTCGACGGGTCGGCATTAGATAGTGCCCGAACTATCTGGGAGGAAAAAACACACCGACTTGGAAACTCGGCTGGCTCCCGCAACTATGGGCCAAATCGAATTCAAATGCCATTACGAATGTTGGAAATAAAATGGGTGCCGCTTCCCAAAACAAGATTGATCTACAGAAAGTGATTTACTCTTTATCCTTTTATATGCACTAAATTCGCGAAAAAAAAAATGAAAAAATGATAACGTATAGTAGAAAACTTGATAGTTTGTAGAGGCCAAGACCCCAACCTTTTCTACAAAGCTTGTTCTGAGTGGGTTGCTAGTGGGTTGCCAGTTCTCATAGCGTTTCTTTGAATAAACCATGATCGCTGCTAAGCACATCGGCATCACAACGAGCCTTGTCGGTTTGCGCTTGATCGTCTTCCTTCCTTGATTGACACCCCGAAAAGAGTGCCATTCAAGAAAAACTCGTTGCCGCCGGATAGCGGCTTACTGTCTGGTCATATTCCTGCCGTTCCACTGGGCCTCATCTTCTTGTTACTCACATAATGAATCGATCTTCCTCATCTCAGGTAGGTCATGTACAAGGAATATTTATATGAAATAAATACAGAATAGATTAAATAGTCGAGGCTTATCCTCGGGCAAGTCTCTGGCGACGGCGATTTCTGGCGATACGGCGGTGGACAATTCGGGCACGACGGTGGTGTCGTGCGCGTTTCGCGGCAGCCCGACGGATGTTCTTGGCGTGACGGCGACGGAGAGCGCGAGCACGGCGGTGCTACAATAGTGGTAGAATTAGACTTCTAGTTATGGTTATGGTGGTCCTGCCACGAACTTCGAAGTCTATTGTAACTTACCTTGAATCGGTTGATAGCCTTGCGTCTTCTAGCGGCCGCTTTGCCGGCACCTCTCTTTACTCGGGTGGCCTCAATGGTGGTCTCGACCTCATCATCATCGTCCAGTTTCTCCAATGTTACGGCAGTTCCATCATCGTTACCGTCAACGATGGCGAGGTCACTCTCATCCTCTTTGTTCTCCTGAAAAAACGATGGCAGTTCTGCTATTCAGAACGACCTGTAGAAATAAAAAGGGTGAAGAATGGCACGGTACCTGTTCGATGGCATTGGCAGCGACAACCAGAAAGCCTATGCAGACAAGGAAGAGAAGCTTCATCGTTGATGATGATTCTATGTTCATAAAAACGCTTTTATATGTGTGTTAGCCGCTTGAGCGCATCGCTAAACCCGTAAACTGCGATGGCGCTGGGAACTCCGTAGGGATCATCACTAAGCCTTGTTGCAGATAGATCTACACATTTGAGTTCGGCAAAAACTGACGGGTCTGGTCATCGCTTATTAGACCATAAATTTCGTCCACTATGCGTCTTCTGTTATGGTTAACAATTGTCGTCACAAACAACATCTTTGCTGTCGAATGGGTCAGTTTTTGCCTTTTGGACCTTATGGTTTATTATAATTTATTTTTTCATTGCAAAATTCAACTACCACTTTTTTCGAAATGTGCAGCCTTATAAATATTAACGGTTATCGATAGTAAACGATTTTTCCGTGCTTTTACCTGGAGCTCTTCAGAGCTCAGTTAACAATCCAGCACCTACCGTACCTGGAATGAAGTGGCACGCTTACCACGCGAGCGGTCCGGGGATCAAATCCTGGGTCGTGAGTCGCCCGGGCCAACCAAGCCTTCCATCCCTCCGGGGTCGGTTAATTGGTACCAGACTTGTCTGGGAGGATAAAAACACTGACTTGTACATCGGCTGGCCCCCGCAAGTCATTGTATAGGCCACATCGCATTCAAACGCCACTACGAATGTACAAATGGAAGTAGAATGCGTGCCGCATCCCAAAAAGGGATTGATCAACGGCAAATGCTTTATCCTTTATCCTTTTAAGTGTTTAATGTAATAGGGTACATAAATTACTTGTCGCGGGTAGCATTTTACCACATTATGGAAGCGGACGAATCGAAAATGCAAAACCTAGTCACCTCGTGGGACCGAACCACACACCAATCTTTCGTCTCTATTTTTGGCGGCTCCAGTGGGGCCTACTCAAGAAAAAATAGAACAGACCCTATGTGTCATGCACATCAGTATTATATTTTAAACAATGGCCAGATTACGCGAATTTTAGAAAGCGCGGGCACACTGAAAGACCTCCCCGATGCTGTAAGAATTTCAATAAAATAAAGCAAGAGGACTATATCACCAATAAAAATCGAACAAAGCATCTTAGAAGAAAAAACTTGTATATAGAAAACCACTTCAGCGAAGTTTTTCAAATGTGATGTTATAGATTATTACAAATGTAGTGTGATTTCACAAAATGTGGTCGACATACATATTGCGTATTATAAGGTTTCTGCTCCTTCCGTTGTATAGATGCTATCCAAACCAATCTGTTGTCGTTAAACACGTTAGAATGTACAAAAATAATAATGCGATATACTATAAAACATAGTAGATGTAATACAAAAGGAATAATTTGAATTCAGAAATCCATGCGTAGAGAGTTCGAAGGCAATATCGTATTTCACTGATTATTTATGCATTTCAAGATTCGAAGTGAATGAATAACCTAAATAGAGTGCTATCGCTATAAACTGGGACATTTCTTGAATGCCTGTCCACGTTTCGTTAACTTGTTGGGCATGTTTAAGTGGGTCAAGTAGTGGCTTGAAGTTCAGGCAAAAAAGGGTATGCTTTACGTAATACTAAGGCTAGGCTTTCTGAAGGATCGAAAGAGAGCAGAGATGATTTTTAATGCGGGTGTTTTGTGATGTCGATTCAAACCGCGTGAAACATCTCCTTTTTGCGAGGAATGGGACTAATGGTAAGAAGAAGAGGAAGAGGCTCCAGAATGCGTGAGCAGTTTTTCAATACCCCGATGTTCCTGCCCATTTTCGGGCTTAGTCCTAGGGGATGTCCCATATCTTGCGATAGCGCCCAAAAGGTTAAATGTACAAAATTAATAAAAATCAGCGAAATGCGTAGATATTATTGCCAATGGATCAGAATGTACACCTTTCATAGCGCATCAAGCTTTGACCAGGTGCCATGCAAGGATGTAATCACGACTTTACCAGAATGCACACCTTCAGCCAAAATGCCTCCGTGTATTGCGATAGCGCTCTAAATAGCATATTGAATACAATAATATGGTAGAAATGACTTAATAATGTGCTTGTTATCGACTTCTTCTACTCGGGGCCTGCTGCACTGTAGAAAACAATTCCAACAACATTCCATAGAGCTCAGGAAAATCGCTCACATCAAAACTGTTTGAATATTAACTGTTGTATGCGCTATCACAAGATACAGGGGCATACTTTAGGGGCAGGAACTTGGGCGAAAATGGAAGTCGCTCACGCACACGGGTGTTTCAACAAGAAGGAGATGTATTATACACTTCAAATTCATTGCCACCACAATGCCCCCTTATCTTGCGGTAGCGCCCATTTATATTTAACGTTTCGCCATACTATAAAAAAAATCAAAAACAATGGCTGTTTATGCATGGAAATGTAAATGACTCGTACTACATCTGTT